TTTAATACATCTCTTTCTCAAAACTGTTTCCTTAGATACCATTTAAAGTGATTACCCACTTAATTATCTCTTTAGTTGGGGGGGGTAGTGGATTGGGGTGGATGGAGGGAGGACGGAGGGACAAGCAGGAGCTGTCTTTTCTGGACAGAAATCAAGGAGCTGGAGTTTGTTTTCATCATCAGTCCTGCTCTGGGAATCAGTGGGTGAGTCTGTGAAGGGCAGGAGATTGGGGAAACTTGTTAAAATTATGGTGCAGCTGGTACTCTTCCCTTGAGGAAACACCACATTTCATCTCCAAGGGTTATTAAGGCTAAGACTTTCCTTAATCATGGCCAACTCTAAGGAAAGAAGTAGGCCACCGGCAGAATTTTCTTCTCCTTAAAATAGAAACTGAATTTGCTGTCTTGAATCTTCCCCCCCCCACTCATTAGGTTAGTCCCTGGCACTGTCATCACGGACGTTTCATCATGTACTCAACAGGACAATATATACCATTTTCTGGTTCTTTCTGTACCCTTTAACCACCTCTCTTCCCCTGCCCCCATAACTCAAGGACCTTCTGAGAACTCTCTAAGGTAAAAATAAAACTTCAAGGAATTTCCTCTCTTCCTTGAAAAGATTATATTGTTTTATAAATGCCCCAGAATCTGCTTTTTTTAGTGCAGACCCAGACTGAACCAGAGACCACCCAGTGATCCTCGCCAGCAAGCTCACACCCAGGCACATTGCCTCTTAGGGATTCAGTTTCCTCGGCTGGAAAACGAGGAGCTTTGTCAAAAATCCTGTCTACTTTCCAAAAGATGAACACCCATTTTAAAATATCAAAGCATCATGATTTTAATAAAAGAAAGATGGTTAACCACCAGCGGGGACATCTGAATTATTCGTTAAAAAACAAAACCCCAAACTACTTGGCTACCAAATTTTCGTGGCACAAATAAAGTAAAAATTCTAACTAATACCTCCAACTACTTGGAGATATGTTAGTAATTTCTATTTTGGAAAAGCAAACATAAGCAGGAACATTATCATAAATCAAAGCCATTTAAAATCTATATAACTCATTGTGCACTGCATGTGAGGTTATAGCAAACATTGTTATCTAGCAAAATATTTCCTCTTCCAAGCCTGGACCTTGCAGAGCGGTCCGTTTCTATTAGTCGTGGCTAAAGTTGTAATTAATTAGAATTTGGGCTATAATGTTATTTGGGTCAAGGTGGTAAAAGCCGTCATTCCATGGCAATGAGGTAAGGCTGTTTCCTTCCAGGTGGAATTAAACGGAGGAAGTTTTATGTTTTCCTAAAGCTTTCCAAAAGGTCAATATGGGGGCAGCAATAGGTTGACATTTAACATTTGGATTGCACTAAATCACTATTTGAATACTTCAAGAATTTAATAAAACAAGCATGTAATTATTAAACAATTCTTCATTATTATCGAGTGATATTTATAGCCCCCCCCAAAAAAAGTATGCTTTACTGATCATTAACATGCTCAGGGGTCTTGGTTTTTGGATAGTAACTTGTGAGTTTGAGATGAAAGTCACTACATTCTATTTCAATTCCCCGGACTCTCCTGTACTCCCCATACCAAAAGGAAATTATGGCACTGGGGAACTTTTCTATTTACCTCACTACATGGAGGAGCTGTTTTTCTCTGAAATAATTGATGTTTTCTCAAATCTGTTAATTACTGCAAAAATCAAAGCCAAGATCTAGACTTACCCCAAAACTGACATCACTCAAAAGGGATCAGTAATAAATGCTTCCATGTTTTAACTGAATCATGTGGGACAAAACAGCATACAACTACACATTATGAGTTTAATAGCAGCCGATGTTACATTGGTTTAAAACAGGAAAGGGAGTAAGCAACTCTTTTGAATTAAATATTTGCAGGTCTAGATAAAAACTAAATTTCTGCTCTTCTCATTTTAGTGGTTTCTCCCCCGCCCCCCAGCAGTTCCACAGAAAGTGATTTACTGCTTTCAGAACAAAATAAGATATGTCAGAACTTTTCTTAGTGAAGAAAAGCTGTTAGACTTGAAAACTTGTCTCAAGCATTATTTTGTCGGAAGATGGATGTAGGCACTTCAACACAGAAAACTTCCCACTTGCAACCGTGTGGAGCACAAGCTGGCAGTTTGATAACAGCTAAGGGCTGAGAAGCGGGGTTTGCACTCACAGCTGGCATCCCCCGTGTCAGGGCTGACCTCCTTGGCTCCTGATGCGCATGGTGCTCCTTCTCCTCTAGCACCTGTTCCCAGCTCTTCCTTACCACCCCATGCCTTGCAATCCTGTGCAGAACCCTGCTTAGGTGTATTTGCTAGGTGCTGTCTTTGGAGCAGGCAGGAGGCCAGGCTACTTTTGGGGCAATGCAGGCCAGCATCAGCTCATGGGAGTCTGGCACTATCCCAGGAGAGCCAGAGGTTTCATGTCCAGCACTGCCACTTCGCACCCTAGTTTGGCTGTGGGGTCAGCAGCCCTGCTATAGACCAAGTGGGGCTCCCAGCAACTACGAGGTCTGAGATAGGAAAACAAAGCTGCCAGCTCATGGCCACCCAACAATGATCCTCGAGGGCTGATCTCGGCCTCCAACCCTGGCTGTGGAGAAAGGGGAGCCACCCCTTCCATAGCCCCATGGGTGAGAGGTCCTGCATTTTAGTGTTCTTAGTTATTCTTAGTGATATAAGTCTCATAAATTTACACTTGCAATGCAAGAACTCTTCTTAAAAACAAATATTAAAGGATGTTGCAGTAGAGTTGCAGTAGAGGTTCCCCGAACCCCAATTTTTAAGAAGTCCACACTTGTTTTCTCCATAAATTCCAAAATGTTGAATAAGTTAAACGATTCATCATCTTTGCTGTTTGAACATTAATAAATGCCCCATCTTTGAATAAACTCTCCAATAAATTTAAATATGGTCAATTATTGAGTTCTCATGCAAATGGAGAAAGCAGTGCTAGAAATAAGCCTACGTTTATTTACTCTCAGTTAGGGACCTAATGCACAATATATGTATTTATTTTCTGCCCAGGTTTATGGTCTTAAGACAATATTAAACCTGAGTTATAATTCTTAGCAGAAAACTAATGATGCTAAAAGACTGCGAAAAGAAGAAGGTCCCTAGCTGGCAAGAGGGAACCAAAGTACAACTTAAAAGCTGGCTGGTCATCGTTTGCAGAACGAATGATCCACATACAGATAATTCAGTGTGGGGTTAGTAACATCTGAGAGTAGACACTGGGGTTAAATCTTTAAAGTAGGAAACGGAGCTTAGTTCTCTGGCTTTCTAATAGGATCTTTTGGAAATGAAATTGGAGAGGAGATGAAACTGGTCGAAAGAGGCAAGACTGAAATTTTCAGTTAGTTCCAGACTAGTATCTATAATATTTATTTTGTCTCTACTACATGTGAGCTGCTATGATTATTAATCCTCACCACCAATGACACCATAGTACTATTATTTTCCTTCCTTTATAGATGAAGAACCCAAAGTCCACAGAAGTTGAGCCATTGTCAAAGGTCAAGGCGCAAGTGGCAGAAACAGATGTGAATCTGTCTGGCATCAAAGTTCATGTTATTGATTACTAAAAAATGACGCTTCTCTTACCATAACAGAGGTTCTTGACCGACTGTCCTAAATCCGATGTCCATGGGAAGTCTAATACTACACAAAATCTCATATTAGTGTGGCTTCCCCCACCCCACAGTAAAACAGTAGTTTCATCAGAAATTCGAAGGGACGAACAACCAAAGAAAAGTAAGAAATAATGGAGGGATGAACAAAACCAAAAAAGTAATTTTTTAAAAAGCAAAAACAAATGGATAGACATGGATTTAAGTTAAACCTAGAAGTACACAGTAGCAGTTCCCCAGGGTGGGGAGAGAGCAGTTAAAAAAAGCTCTGGAGCTTTAAAATATAGCAAGTTCGAAATGTATCACAGGTAAGTCAGAGCAGCGTGAGGACCCCTCTCCCGGGGGGCTGGGTTACTCGGGTCACACTGTGAGCACCGTGTTCTCCACAGCACCACTGTCCAGAGCAATACTGAAAACTGGAGGGAGGTCGGGGCAGGGGAAGGTGAATGGAAGGGTAATGGGCCCAGAAACACCACCATGTGAGGAAGAACTGAATGACCTAGCAGCAATGACTTGGAGAAGAAAACACACACTGGGAGAAGGCTGTTCCATCCATCAAGCAGAGCAAGTCACAACCAGAGGGCAGGAGGAGGGCAGAGGTCAACTTGGAATGATAATGGGAAGGCCTGTATAGAATAGGTAACTAGAGATTCTATGATCAACGCAAGTGTTAAAGCAAAGGCTGTCAGCAGGACCCAAGGTTGAGTTTAAGGGAGATTTTAAAAAGAGTCATCCCAGGAAAAGCCCAAGAATCTGTATGTTAAGAAATATCCCTATAAAATCCTGTTGTAAAGCTAGGTCTGTTCTGACTGCTAGAAGACCACGCATCCGAAAATTCGTAAACCTCATTGCACCGGGAACAAATGTCTCAATAGAGGATATCTACATTCTCTTAAATGTCTCAGTACTGAGAGAGCAACCCATACCGCACAGCAATACCACACCATCATCTGCGGAAGTGAATCCCTTATCAGAATGCGTATGAAGTAGAGAAACCTTAACAAAGCATGAATTCCTAGAATAATGACACATTTCAGAGACGTAAGTATCTCAAGTGCTTTAGAAATGCTGACCTTTGAAGATTTTTCTGATTCACAAGGTGCAACGAGAAAGATGTCTATGTTAGCAGGAGGTTGCATATAATAAGAGAGCTTCAGAGGCCCGTGGAGCAATGTGGGCATGTTCCTGGTGTCCCCCAGAACCAGGCCTGATAAAGTCAGGGAGCCTGAGCAAACACTAATGTTATCTATGTCCGCCTCACTGAGTGAGTGCGAGAGCTCTAGACACATAATACATTCACACACACAGCATTTTCTCCGTCCCGCCCCATCTCATAGACTAAAGAAAATGCAAGTGCTTACTGTCATTTCTGAGGAAATTATTGAGCAGTTGGAAAAGAGGAAAACTATCCCAGGAGTCTTGTGGTTGGGCCTCCAGTGCAGTATCCATATCTACTGTGAATAAAGCCCAAAATTTCTCCGCATGCTCTGCCAATAAATCAGGCCACCAGGCAAATGCCTGTAAAAGGATAAACAATGTAAAATTAGATTACTTCTTAGAAACACACACAAATATCGTGCCACCTGAAAACATGTCACTGAAAATGAAATTGTAGAATGTCGTTGAATAGGATACCACATTTAAAAACATTTCTATTCACAGAAAAAAGGAGATATTAAAATATATAAGATACCATAGTAGTTACGCTTAAATTAAGAGATACTAAAAATTTTTCCTTTTTTTTATATATTTTGCAAATGTTCTAAATTAAACATGTATTTTTAAAGTAAAGTAATAAATGTCATTTTACATTTTAATTCTGTTTTAGATTTCATATGTTATTCAATGCCAAATTTGCTTATTTAAAATTTGTGTATAAAATTTCTTCTCACATTAAAAAAATGTTACCTTTTATTTGTAGTACTTTAAAAAATAAATCTAAGGTCTAAAGCTCAAACATGCTTTTGAAGAGAGGGATTTCCAGACCCTCCAATATAAATTAGGTACTCTGGTAGGTAGGTAGGTAGTCTTATCAAGTCTTACATGTCTCTCTGATGCTCAGTGTCAGAGTTAATTTCACAAGTCTTGGTATTGCATATATGACTACATATGTGAATATTTTAATTTCTGCCACTTAAATTAGACTGTAAACACTACAAAGACAAGTCTGTACATGTTGCTTATTACTTTATACTCAGCTAGGTATTTTCTAATGCCTTCTGCTAATGGCAATAATCATCCTAAAAAATCTGCTGTTTAGATGAGTGAAAATACTATTTACTTTTTAGAAAGTTCTTGAAAACAATGTGGTCTGATAATGGATCATAGCCCCAACACCACCTGCCCCTGGGACCTAGCAGCAGGCCCAATTTCCCATGGTCCGTGCCAGCCAGCTGGCCCAGAAATCCTACCAACCACAAAATTGCCAAATTGTTCCCTAAACTACTAAGTAGATAAACAGGACTGTATTGAATAAGTGTGGGTTTTGTAAAGAAAAATCAAGTCCAAATCAGATAACTCATACTTAAATACAAAGTTTTAAGTGTCTTTTTCCCTCAGATCTATTTGATTTATATTAAAGGAGCAAACTATAATATAGGAAATTATGTGACTTTAAACGTGGCATGCATTTTAGAAGTTGGTCCAAGTAAATAAAAATACCTTTAACAGAGAGTCAGGTTTCCTAAGAAATTCATATTTAGATAAATAGAAGATATTTACAGTCAGCACTTTTTTTCCCCAGAGCCTTCACTGGGACTAATGTCAACAAAAAATTTAATATGGCAGTCTTGTATTTCAAGCTCAAGCTTTTGGGGATACATTCTCAGGTCTTCTTCTTCTTCTTCTTTTTTAAGATTTTATTTATTTATTTGACAGAGAGAGACAGATCACAAGTAGGCAGAGAGGCGGGCAGAGAGAGAAGGGGAATCAGGCTCCCTGCTGAGCAGAGAGCCCAATGTGGGGCTTGATCCCAGGACTCTGAGATCATGACCCAAGCTGAAGGCAGAGGCTTAACCGACTGAGCCACCCAGGCATCCCTCATTCTCAGGTCTTCTTTAATGTGCAAACTGCAAACGCAACTGCCAGTATATGGTAATGGGAGTTAAAGAACGTAGAGTTCTCATGGAAAGATCTTAGCTCTTCAAGGACAGACTTTCAAAATGCTTGATTCCACTAATCCCATGCTTCAGTGAATAGACTGATTATTCCCCACTTTATTAATGTCGCTGGGCTATATGAAATCTGATATCAACTGATCAAGATGTTAGATTCAGTTGTGGATGAAAATTTTCTCAATTCAACTTTTATGATTCTCATCATAAGAATGCAAGGTGTTAACGAAGGCTTTTTTTGAATCATAAAAGGGAAAAGTATTAATAAGGACTATTACCAGAAAAACTTGTTAATGGATACACAGTATAGAAGAAGTAAATTCTCACATCAGTAATATAGCTTGTGTGTGTGTGTGTGTGTGTGTGTGTGTGTGTGTTGGGGGGGGCGGTAGTAAAAGTGTAGTGTTTCTGTATGTGATTAGATTTAAATTATTACTTTAAAATGGACTATTAAAAGGTCTGGAGTCCAGTTAAAAGGTAAATACTTGCCTAAGAATAGTTTAAGTGTAAATGAATTAAACTCCCCAGTCAAGAGACACAGACTGAATAAACAAATAAAACAACAAGTTCTCATTATATGCTTTTGAGAGACTTTCGATTTAAGGACACACATAGGCTGAAAATGAAAGAATGGTAAAAGATATTCCATACAAATTGTAACCAAAAGAGAGCAGGGGTGATTATAGTTACAGCAAACAAAACAGACTTTAAGTAAAAACTGCCATAGGGGAAAAAGCGGGTCACTATATAATGATAAGAGGGTCAATTTACCAGGAAGATAAAACAATTATAAATATATATGCACCTAAATATATAAAACAAACACTGACAGATCTGAAAGGAGAAACAGAAAGCAATACAATTATGACAGGAGACTTCGATGGTACACTTTCAATAATGAACAGATCTCATCCAGATGGAAAATTAATAAGGAAACAGCAGACTTGAATAACACTATAGACTAAATGGATCTAAGAGACAGATATACAACATTTTACCCAAGAGCTTCAGACTGCACATTCTTCTCAAACATACACCCAGGATAGATCTCATGCTAAGTCACAAAAAACTTAACTTGAAATCACCCCAAATCTTTTCCAACAGCAGTGGAATGAGATTAGAAGTCAGTACAAAAGGAAAACAGAAAAATTTACAAAGACATGAAGGTAAACAAGACATTCTTAAACAACCTTTGGGTGAAAGAAGAAACATAAGGGAAACAGAAGTATCTTGAGACAAACAAAAATGAAAACACAACATACCAAAATTTATGGGATGCAGTAAAAGCAGGACTAAGAAGGAAGTTTATAGCAATAAACATCTATATTAAAAAAGAAGAAAGATCTCAAACTATCAACTCATGTCACACCTCAAGAAACTAGAAAAAGAAGAACAAACTAAGTCTGGAGTTAGGAAAAGAAAGAAAATAAGATTAGAGCTTAAATAAATGAAATAGAGAATACAAAACAATAAAAGAGATCCATGAAACTAAGAGTTAAGTTTCTTAAAAAATAAATACCAACAAAGCTTTTGACTAATAAAAAGATAGAAAATGCAAATAAGTAAAATCATAAATGAAAGAGAGGACATCGCAACAAATATCACAGGAATAAAAAAGATTATAAGGGACCATTAACCAATGACTTATTGAATATGACACAAAAAGCACAGACAACAAAAGCAAAAATACATAAGTAGGACTACATCAAACTAAAAAGCTTCTGCATGGCAAAGGAGACCATCAATAAGATGAAAAGGCGACTTATGGAATGGGATAAAATCGCTTCTCGGCCTTTTGGCTAAGATCAAGTGTGGAATGGGATAAAAATATTTATAAAAAGTTTATCTAATAAAAGGTTAATATTCAAACCTGTGTAAAGAACTTCTACAACTCAATAGCATGAGAACCTCAAATAACTTGAATGAAGGATGGACAAAGATCTGAATGGACATTTCTCTGAAGAAGCCTTACAAATGGCCAATGGCTATATGCAAAGGTCCTCAACATCATTAATCATAATTTGATTTTTCAAATGCAAATCAAAACCAAAATGAACTATCATCTCACACCTAATTAGGATGTCTATTATTTAAAAAAAAAAAAAAAACCCAAAAGGTAAGTTTTATTGAAGATGTAGAGAAAAGAGAAGTCTTGTATACTGTTGGTGAGAATGTAAATTACTACAGCCACTATGGTAAACAGTATGGGGATTTCTCAAAAAATTAAAAATAGAAGTACCATATGACCTAGCAATCTCATTTCTGAGTTTACATCTGAAGGAGTTGAAATCAGAATCTTTTTTTTTTTTTTTAAACCAGAATCTTAAAGAGATATCTGCATTGCCATGTTCACTGCAGCATTATTAACAATAGCTAAGACATGGGAGCAATCTAGATATCCACCGATAGATGAATAAAGAAAATATGACATTTTATACAATGGAATATTTTTCAGCCTTAGAAAAGAAGGAAATTGTGCCATTTGTAGCAACATGGTTAAGCCCAGAGGATGTTATGCTGAGTGAAATACTCCAGACACAAAAGGACAAATACTAAATGACCTCATTTAAATGAGTGATCTAAAATAGTCAAATCACTAGGAGCAGAGAGTAGAATGGTGGTTTCAGAGGGTTGAATGCTTGGGGTGGATGGAGGGGAGTGTGAAATAGGGAGGTATTAGTGAAAGGATACAAAGATTTGTTATACAAGACGAACAACTCTTAGAGATTTGTTGCGCAGTATAGGGCCTATAGTTAACTGCTGTTATTACCTACTCAGCATTTTGCTTAGAGGTACATCTCCTGTTAAGTTAACTCACACAAGAAAGTAATGTGCATTTCTCTGGCTATCTGATCTCAGTTTTGTTTTAATTCACATTTCTTTAATTAAGAATGAGTTTGAACACATTTTTCAAATGAGTAAGGATCCCATACTGTTTTTAGTGAATTGTTTTTCAGGTCTTTCCCCCTTCCCTTAACATTTTTTTTTATTAAGTAAACTCTACACCCAACATGGGTCTTGAACTCATGACCCCAAGAGCAAGAGTCACAGGCTCTACAGGCTGACCCAGTTACGCACTCCCTCCCCTTTTAAAATTTATCTTTTGCTGGTGTTACAACTTTTTAACCACATAACTACAAAACATTCACACTTCTGGGATATAGAATTTTTTATTATTTTTCCAATCAAAACTAATCACTTAAAAAAGGATTCATTATACTATAACCAGAGAAGTCAACATTTACTTTCAAGAACTTTCTAAGAGATACATGGTTGTAAAACTTCCACTTAATTTCTTCAAAGGTAAATTACATTAAAACCACATGATAGTCAAACCACAAAACAAAATGGATTATAAAATATCAACACACTGGGTATTTTCTTTCTTTTTTTCTTTTTAAACCG